TCACTGTGGGCAGTCCTGGCACAATGGATACACCTCCAGGACCCCCGATGCCACTCTAGCGAATGTCGAGACTCAGGGGGGGTAGCTCAGCACGACGCAGGCGGGCCCATGGAGGATGGGAGGCGTTCTGGGCGCGGCCAGTGGTGTCATCAAAGGTGCCGATGCTACATGTCATGGCACCAGCAAGGCCGAGCATGGACGACACCTGCTTAGATCTGGCCACCCAGGTAATTATGTGTGGCATGCTGGGGAACGGCGCACATCCTCGCACCTGCTTTGGCCTGGAGGTCTGCCGCCTGATTGCCTAGGTGGTGGCACAGCTCGAGCCCCTCGAGGTGCGCAGCGTCGGTCTTCTTGGAACGCGCTCGAACCTTGACGACGACGAGGTCCCCCTCCCCCCCAGAGAAGGAATCTTCGATCGCATTCCATATCATGTGCCCAAGGTCGGCATGGGGGCGCCTGGCCCGGCGCCACCACATCGGTCCTCGGGGGAAGCCTCTGACCACGGCAGCATTGCCTGTTCCTGCCTGGAGCGGCGCCGTGCCGTGGCGCAACACATTCAGGAAACCATTGAAGGGGCCCCAGGACACACAAATAAATACACACAAATAAAAAGATCCCCCATGTTTTCTCATATTTTCTGGGTTTTTGTCTCCCCCCCCACTTCCCATATTTTCCAATATTTTCTGGGGAATCGAGGATTACTTGTGTCTGTGTGTTTCTTCTTCTCCTCCTGACCTTAGATATATCTGGGCCTAACGTGCCCCTGGGGCAGTGCCATGCATCGCCTTTTGGACATTGCCCTGGTCATCACCAAAAGCAATGTCCAACCGAACGCCTTCAGCCCAGGGGCCCCGACACCCGATCCGTCCGAATAGGCAAATCCAGATAGGAGGGGATCGTCCCCGAACTCGGGATCAAGGGCCTCGGTACTGGGCGTGACGTCCAGGAAGAGCCCCCCCCAGCGGGTGGGGAACGATGGCCCTGGAGAGAAGGCGGGGGGAGGGATCCGAGGTGGCAGCACGATGGACAATCTCGGGGAACTCTTCACCAGAAGCTCCACGCTGCTCCTGGAAAGCTGGGCACTGACAAAAACGGTGGCGGTGGTGGTTCCCTACCTCATGCCCGCATCTCTGGCAACTGCAACGCTCAGAGTGGCCTGCCTTCCAGACTTTGTCCTGGGTCCAACAATATCCGCCCAAGAAAGCCAACATCGCAGACCGCGTCTGTCCACGACCCTTCCTCTTCGAACGAACAGCGGCACGACAAGGCTCGAGGAATGGCTGGCGAAACGGCATGCCGCGGATCGTAGCCCTCTCAGAGAGCTCCTGATCCTCGAGCCGAAGATGAATATACTTGCGAAGAGTGCTGGGCGCCGTTCGGCGCATACCGACCAGCTCTCCAGTGTGCAGCCGGCTTGTGTGCCAGCAGGGCCAAGACCACCCCGGGCGCTGGAGCGTCAGGCTGCAGGCCGAGGCTGGTCCTCTAACCTGGCTTCAAGGGCGGTCGAGCGGACGGCTGCGCCTGGCCGCCTCAAGGGACATCTCTCGGCGCAATGCCCTAGCCATGTCCAATTCATGTGTGCCCTTTCACGCCTGGGCAGCCCAGCGGCTTCTGCGAGGCTTCAACAACTGGGTCAACCTGATAGGCCCAGAGCCTCAAGACTCTGTCGCGCCCGATGGCATTGCCATCGAGACTCCCCGAGACCATGACACGCATCCTGGCCAGGGAGACTGGGGAAACATCCAAGCAACTGGACCCGTAGGTCACGGATTAAATCACTCCTTGCCTAACGACTCGGGACAGGCGGGCTCCCTGCTTGGGCGAGGGCTCTTAATTTCATCTTGCGCTTGATGGCATACTTGAAACGCTTCTGCACCTTACTTCGATTCCTGACCACAGCGCCTGTAGCGCTGTCCACACTCAGCTGCGTGCTGGCGGTGGTGCTGGTAAGACCCAAGTCCTTGGCCCAGGGCGAGTAGCGTCTCCGAGCCAAGGCCGAGGCGGCGAGGATGTACCCTTTCCCCGCGGGCGTCACGGGCGACAGGGATGCTCCAGGTGCCCTCTATCTGGTACATGTAAAAGGTGACAGCGGCCTGCAGCGTAGAGAGACGGTCGAGTGCTCCACGCACTTGGATGCTGAGACCATCGACCAACATCTTCATCTGGAGCCGGGGTCCCCAAACACGATGGATGGCATCCGTAACCTGGAGCACTACCATTTTGAGAGCGAGCGCGCCTGATATGGATCCTGCAACCACGGCCGAAAAAGTGCGTAGCGTGCAGCTGGCAAGCACACAACTGAAGGCGACCAGCCTCGTGGAGGTATAGATACTGATGAGGAGCTGGGCTAGTTGCTGTGGGGATCCACACAGCGGGGGCACCACCCACAAGACTGGCATCGTGACATGCTCGAACGCCCGACACAGATCAGATCCAACTCGCCGACACCTCCCCCTCACGCGCCCCTTCGTCGTGCACCATCTGGTGCCATGCGGCATCCTCGGAGCCCCCTTCCAGGGCCCCCGAAGTCGTGCTCTCCTGTTGCGGAGCGCTCCCAATCGTGGAGCAATCCCGAGTGAGTTGTCTCCACAACTCTCATAAGGGCGGGGAGCAGGCCGGTAGGACGGGTGCCACTTGATTCCTTCGAGAGAAGGAAGTCAATCATGTACCTGACCTGCTGTGTAAACTGTGCAGTGCGCGAAATGAGCATGACCAACTGGATGAGGCAATCCTTACATTCGCCAGAGAGCCAGGCCCACCAGCGTGGGTGCCAGCGGTCAGCTCCGATCCCGCCCTGGCAGGAAAACTCAAGCAGATGTTCGTGAACAGATCCGTGAAGCTCTTGCAAAGTTCTACAAATGAATGCGAGCGAGGATACGGCGACAGACACATTGGTAACGACCTGCCCTCCCTCTGTGAGGTCCTTGCGACATGTTAAGACCTAGATGTGTGGTGCCAACGCGAGCGCCACATGTTGAACATGACCCGCCCTCCATCCGTGAAGCTCCTGCAAAATTTTCAAATGAATGCGTGCGTGATGCGAACGCGAAACGCATATTGGAAAGGACACGCCTTTCATCCGTGAAACCTCTTGCAAACTTTCAAAGACGACGTGCGCGGCGCTGGGGCGAAAACTTCTTTTGAAAACGGCCTACACTCCATCCGGCAATCGTTTGCAAACTTGTGGAACGTACTTGCGCGGCGTAAGGCGGCGAGAGCCAGAGTTTGAAAACGGCCCGCCCTCCATCATTGAAGCTGATGCAAACTTGTAAACATTAGTGTGCGCGGCACCACGGAGGAAGCCACATTTTGAAAAGGAGCCATCCTCCATGCGTGGCAACCGTGCAACATTGTATGACGGATGTTCGTGGCGCGACTGCAAGAGACACATGTTGAAAAGGACCTGCCCTCCATCCGTGAAGCCTTCGGGAGCTAGTAAGACGAATATATAATATGCGGGGGGCGAAATGCGAGAGACACATTTTGAAAACGGCCCGCCCTCCATCCGTGAAGCTCCTGCAATTTGTAAAGACGAGCGTGCGCGGCGCGAGGGCGGAACACGTGTCGAAAACGACACGCCCTCCGTCCGTAAACAGCCTCTTGCAAACGCTTAGGACACATGCGCGGTGGCGCAAATGCGAGAGACACGTCTTGAAAACCACCCGCCATTCCAGCCGTGAACCTGCCGCAAGCGTCGAAAGCACACACGTGCGCGGCGCCAGGGCGAGAGGGCCTCGTCTCGAGAACGGCCAGCCCTCCAGCTGGCAAGCCTCTGCAAGCCTGTGAAGCGCACGTGCGAGGCGCTGAAGGGAGCCGTGAAACCGCTGCAAACGTTGAAAACACACGGGCGCGGCGCCAGGGCGAGAGAGAGCCTCGTCTTGAGAACGGCCGGCCCTCCGGCCGGCGAGCCTCCGCAGGCCCGGGAAGCGCCTGTGAAGCGGGGCGCCGAAGGGGGGCCGCAGCTGGAAGAGGATCCGCCCTCCGCCCGCGAAGCCCCTGGCAGGCTCGTCAACAGTGAGCGCGCGCGGCGCGCAGGGGAGAGTTCAGTCGGGCCTGTCCTTCTCTGCAGGGGGAACATTCGAAAATGGCAAAAATAACAATCCAGGGGCAATGTTTGTTGGACCATCTTTGGATACTTTTGGGGGGTATTTTTCTGGGGCATGTTTCATTTGTCGCCCAGAATCCCCCTGTAAAGGGGACAGGCCCGACCTCATGGGAGAGCCACGGGTTGAAGAAGGGACCACACTCCCACCGCGAAGATCTGCACAGTTTGACGACGGATGCGCCCGGCGCGATGGCGAGAGACACGCATCGACGAGGGCATGCCCGCCATAGTCGAAGCCTTTGCAAGCGTTTAGGACAAGTGCGCACAGTGCTGAAGCGATCATCACAACTTGAAAAGGACCCGCCCTTTATCTGTGAACCTCTTGCATGTTATCAGCTTCAGAACCATGAGTTGCGAAGCAGTCTCAGGCGAAACGCCCGGCCCGCCCCATCGACGCGTCTGGCGGTACGACAAGGAGGAGTTACCTATAAAAGAAATCAAGAAGAGGGGTGGCACACTATGATGTCGAAGCCCGAACATCTCAGAGCAAACGCGGAAGCCCACAAGACGACCAGTGAGCCGTGCCCGCTAGCAGCCACCAACACCACGTGAGCGTCAAGCGAATCTCGATGTTTTCACAGGGAGATATGAATGCGCAACACAACAGGGAGAGGAGGGAAGAAGTGGAAGAGGAGGACGAGGGAGGAAGACGAGAGAGAAGGAACTGCCATGAGGGGAAGCGGTCCTGAGGGATACCCTGGGGCTTCCCTCGAGACCAGCATCTCCTCCCGCGCCGCTCTCTGACAATCCCAGGGCCCAGGGGGAAGCCCTGGAGAGCCCTTGTGGAGAAGAGGGGGGGGGACCTTTTGGAGCCTCTTGGCCATGCCACGAGGGTCGAGCTACACCCAGCGATGAGGAGGTGCCGCCAGAATCCTACAGGGCTGCCTTGGCCTCAGGCTCGGGCGTGGCCGCGGCTCACGGGCCAGAACCCGAGGCTGTCCGCGAGGCCGTCGCGGGCCGCCTCACGAAGTCGCGCGAGTACATCAGGAGGTACTCGGGGTACACCTGCGGGGCCGCCGCCGCTGCGCCGCCGAGCGGACATAGGGGGGAGGGATAGGGGAAGGGCTGGGGGAGGCGGGGGCGAGGGAGGGAGGGAGGGAGGGAGGGAGGGAGGGGACGAGTGATGGAGAGGGGAGGGAAGAGTAGGCAAGAAGCTCCAGGGGGTGCGCAATCCTGTGCGAGCGAAGGGTCCGAACGCACCAAAGGCGGGTTTGGGGCCGATTCTCCATGATATCGAATCGAAGTTTTAGCTTGTGAGAATCAAGGCCCACCAAGATCTGAATAACGCCGCAACGCCTCTGGAGAGACGGTACGTGAAGGGTAACGGTTGGGCCGATCAACTGCCCGAATTGGCGGCCAGAAAGAATAGTGTGTCGCACAACGGTGTAGCTCATTTCAAGGGGGCAGTGTAATGAAACGAATATGTGGACGTTGCAAGGATCGACATTCTGGAGGTGCCCTCCGCCTGTGAGCTTTCGGGAGTCTCAGCCGGACTCCAAGATCACCCGCCGCTGCCACGGAGCGGCGGCAGTACGATAGGGTCTGGGACGGTGGCCGGTATGAATGACTCTCTGGCCGCAGAGCGGGGGCCCAAATTTTGGCCACCACCCAATATTTCACTCTACCCATCTTGCAGCATGATTCCCCAAAATGCCTTGGTCCCAGGGTTTATCCACGGCGTGCGCATGACCACCACTGTTGCCACCGGCGCTCCAGTATTGCTCTGCATGGTATGCGGGGCCACTGCTGCTAGCAAAGCGATTCAGTCGAGGTCTGCTTGCGCACACACACACACACGCGCGCCCGAACAGTGCCCTGAGGAAGCTGAAGAGAGGGGAACCTCCAGGGTGCAATACGAAGACTCTCATCAGCACACTCTGCCGCCTGAGAGCGCTTAGAAGGCTGAGAAGGAAGGGAGAAGAAGGAAGGGGTGAGGAGAGGAAGTGTAGATGAGGCAGGCTTGCTCGAAAGGGACCAAGACCTCCGACGACTCGTTGTTTCGAGTTTCAAGCCAATGGAGCCCCCGACTCCTTCCAAAGGGCATGTCGGTTGATTCCGAGTCGTGTCTCTTCGACAGCGCAGGAGCTCGACAGCGGCCTCCGAGACTGGGAAATTGCGAAAAAGCTGCGAGCATTGCGAATCGTTGGAGTCGCCAGGGGTCTGGGGAGATGGCTGGTTTCCGAAACCCTGAACCCTAGAAGCAACACTATAAACATACACTTTTGGCGCCCAGCGCTGACTTCTTGGATCTGCGCTGGACCCCCCTCCCTGGCGCGCTCCGCGCGCCAGGGGCGGCGCGGGAGGCGCCGCCAGGGGGGTCCCAGCGCGGCTCCAAGAAATCCGCGCGGAGCGCCAAAAGCTTATGCTTGTGGCGTTTTGTGGCTTGTGGTTTCTGCTGCTTTGTTTTTTTTTGCTTCTTCCATACGGCAGGTTCGTGTCGTGCCGACCCCAGCGTTGGTTTTTGACACCGCAGGGATCGTTCAACCTTGAACGATCGGCCGCTGCCGTAACGTCCGATCGTTCAACATCGATCGATTCTGGGTCGCCGTCGGCGTTCAACCTTGAACGCCGGTGGCGGGGTCGCCGCTGGTCGACACGACGCAAACCTACCGTAACCAAAAACCCTCTGCGAGAGCACGCAACCAGTGCCGTCTCCCTTGCAGGCCGAGGCCGCCGCCGCCGTCCTGCGGGCGAGGTACCGCCCACGGCGGGGCCCACGCTCTGGGCGCGCCTGGTCGATCTGTTCTCCAGAGATGGAAAGAACACACACGGCAAAAACAGGAGAAGCACGAAGCACCAGACGAGCTACTGATACTGCCAAGTCGCGGGGGGCGCGCCTGGTCGCTGTCGTGGATGACGACCTCCCGAAAGGGCTTCCCCAGGTGCCGGACGCGGTCCCCGAGCACGGAGTGGTGGCGGCCGTGCAGGACCTGCACGGAGGCCGCGAGGGCGGCGAGGGCGACCGTCGCGCCTCCCCATCGATGCGCCCTTCCCTCGTCTTCAGCCTGCTCCTCTGTGCTCCTCCGCTTTCCTCCTCTCCCATTCCCCCCCTCTCCAGGCTTCTCCCCCTCCCCCTCCACCGCACCTTCTTCCTACCCGACCGCCGAATAGTACAACAGTAACGGCGACGACGACGACGAGAAATGCGTACGCCGACGCTAACGCCGAACGACGCGGACGCCAGCGCCGACGACTTGGACGCCGACAGCGATGACGACTGCGACGACGACAACGACGACGTCGATGATGACGACTGCGACGACGACGACGACGACGACGACGACTAATACGGAGAAGCGGTTCCTGGGCATTGGCAGAACTGGGTTTAGTGGGACCTGGTTTAGTTATGTGCATCGGGGGGCGCCCCCCCCGCCCCGTTCCACTAACTGGAACTGCCGTCCCCCGAAAAAACACCAACTACGGCAGACCTGGTTTAGTGATTCTGGCCAACTTAGGGGCCCCGGGGCCCTACCACTAACCGGGTATAGCCAGGACACCAGATAAGGGGACCCGGTTAGTAGTAGGGCCCCAGAGCCCCTATATTGGCCAGAATCACCAAACCATGTCTGCCGTAGCTGGTGCTTCTTCGGGTGGCGGCAGCTCCAGTCAGTGGAGCGGGGTCTGGAGGGGGGGGCGTCCCCTGGTATTCATCATATAAAATCAGGTCCCACTATAAACCCAGTTCTGCCAACGCCCGACCCCGGGTCCCGGATCCCGAGGCTTTGCCTCCTCCTGGCCTTGCCGTGAGGCCGCGCTCCTTCTGTCCCCCCCTCTTTGTTAGTTCAAGCTTCGCGCGGCCCGCTTAGCTTCGACCGGAAGAGGTGCGCTCTCGACCCGCGAATCAAAAAAGTGTCAACCAGACCAGCCAGCTTTGCATCCTGCTCCGCTGCTCGTGATCCGCGGGGCCCGCGGAGCGCCCAGGGAGGCCACAAACCAGGAAGAGCTTGAGGCCTCTTGAGACCTCTTGCCCTCAGGACTCGCCCCTCGGGACCCTCTCAGCAAGCTCACACCCAGGACAAAGAATGTGGCAATTGGGACTCGTCCCAAGCTTAAAACCTCTTCCCCTGTTTTGAGACCTCTTTCCCTCAGGACTCGTTGCGAACATGGCGATGAGGACAAGGACGACAACGACGACGACGACGACGACGGCGGCGGCGGCGGCGGCGGCGACGGCGTCCGAACGGCCCGGGCCGGCGGCCGAGAGGGCGCGGGCGCAGCCTGCGTCCGCAGTGCTTCGGCATCGATTCTGTCCTTGAAGGGCCCCCGCCACACTCGGAGGGCTGAGGTTTCCTCTCCCCTCGCCCTTTTCCTCCTCCTTCTCCTCGTCGTCGTCCTCCTCCTCCTCATTCCCCTCGGATCCCGAAGCCGTCCCCATGTTTGGCCTCCTGCTGACTACAGAGCCTCGCGATGTTGGGCATCTGCCGCGTCATGCCCCTGGACCTCGCGGCCACCCTTTTTCCGATGTCGGCCCCGCGGTGGCGGTCCTGCCGCGCGGCTGGTGAGCGGATGCTCTTGGTAAGCTAACTCGACAGCAGGCGGCAGACCGTGGTAACAAGGGCAACTGCCGCATTCAGCTCCAAAGCTCGGCCGAGCCGCAGCGGCTTTGCCCAAACTCAAGGCGCTGGTCAATCTCATCGTACTATTCAGACTCAGCAGGCTCAACCGGAAGCAGATCCGCGCGACGGGGTGCAACGCAGAAGATTGTCATCGCGGCCGCGAGGGTTGCCTGAATGGAGCGCCCTATCCAGGTTCGGGAGCGGCCAAGAGGGGGGTGTCCAATAGGGGGGGGTGCAAGTCATGACCGGCGGCATGTGCGCGGACAGGCGGGGGGGCCTGGGACGTAATGAAATAAGAAGAATCGCCATGAAATCTGAGGAAAAATCATGGCCCGCGCCATGAAATCCACCCCCCCTAGTCATCACCCCCCTCTTTTCCGCTCCCGACAGGTTCCGAAGCGCGGCAGGTTGGGCGGGCGCGCCCCCCATGTCCTTAGCCATCCCCCCAGCCCCGAAGGACTGGCTCCGCGGCGCTCTACCCCGAAAAACGCTTTCCGAATTATGCGCGCGCGCGGGGCGCTGCGATCCATGCCACACGCCCTGACCGCTTGCTGCCCTGCTCACCGCAAGAAGCGCCAGCCAGCCAAGGCCCCGTCGCGCCGAGGACAGCGCGGGGCGCGCAGAAACGCCGGGCGGACGCCTCCCCGATGGAGACGCGCGGCGGTCCACCTGCACGCTCCGCCTCCGCTCCAGAGAGCTCCAGCTCCAGGGCCCCAGGGGCGCGCCGCCGCGCGGACCGCACCCGCAGGCGCCCGCAGGCGCCGCGGGGCGCCTCGAATATGAGGCGCGCATGGCGTCTGGCCGGCGGCCCGGCGCGTTGTTCGGCAGCGGCAGCGGCGGGCACAGTGCCCAACAACAAATGTTGCCCCAAACCAACAGCGGCCGCTGCTGGGCAGGCGGCCTTCTGCCTCGAATGGGCACAGGACACAGGCCGCGGCGGCGCGGACAGCGAGCCCTGTTCAAAATGAACAGGAACTGCTGTTGGGCATTGTGCCCATTCTTTCCGTGCCCATTTCGGGCGTCCAGATGATCACCGCAGGCGCTGCGCACGACTCGGCGCGTTGGATACTCCGGCGCAGGCCTCGCCTCGCCATCGAAGTGCCAGCGCAAGAGCCGCGGAGGGGGCCGATGTTTCCGCGGTAGCTGCGCGCGGCCAGGAGCAGGCGCCGCGGGCGCGTCAAAGGATTGGGCGCAGGCATATCCTCGCTATCGCGGTGTTAGCACAGGGGCCACAAGCATGAGCCTCTGTCAGCGCAGGCACCGCCCATGCGAAAGCGCAGGCGCCTCCGGCACTACAAATCATTGGGTGTAGGCGTCGCCCTGTCATTGCAGGCGCTGGCGCCAGCACGCCAGACCTCTTTTTCCCCAAAAGAGTGCTTTTGGGTTTCTTGGACGCCCGAAATGGGTACGGAAAGAATGGGTACAATGCCCAACAACAAATGTTGTCCCGAGCCAACAGCGGCCGCTGTTGGGCAGGCGGCCTTCTGTCCCGAATGGACACAGGCCGCGGCGGCGTGGAAAGCGAACCCTGTTCAAAATGAACAGGAACTGCTGTTGGGCATTGTGCCCATTCTTTCCGTACCCATTTCGGGCGTCCAAATTATTTCTCTCAACCTTCTCGGGACCAGAGCCGGCTTCTGCGAGCGGTGCCGCCAGTCGTCGTCCTTCGCCGCTCGTCTCGGGACCAGGGCCAGCCGTCGCAGTCGGTGCCGCCCGTCGCCGCCGTCGCCGCCGACGTCGCCGTACCATCGCCGCCCTGCTTTGCTTTGTTTTGGATTGGTTTGCTTTACTTTGCTTTGCTCTACTGTACTTTACTTTGCCTTGATGTGACTTTGATGTGATTTGATTTGCTTTAATGTACCTGGCTTTCCTTGAGCATTATTAAGTCTGAGTTACTGTGCCTTACCTCACTTTACTGTGTATTGATTTGCTCAGCATGGATTTACCTTTACTTTCGTGGTTTACTATGCGCTATGTTACTTTACTTTGATTCGCTCTCATTCAGCTTACTTTGAATTACCTTACCTTACCCAATTCTAATGTAATGTCTTTGCGTTGAATTTGCTTTGCTTTGTTTACTTTAACTTTACGTTGGCCGACCCTACCTTATCTTATCTCCCATTACTTGAATATTCTCCCGTTTGCGCTACTCTAATTTGCTCAACCTTACTTTACATGACCGTACCACGCTTTACTTTTACAATACTTTACCTATTATACTTGACATTGCTTTGGATGGCTTTACTTTGCTCCACTTTACTTCCCCGAACAGTGATTGCACTGAACAATTCTTACTTTTCTTAACCATGTCGGGACCATGGACGGCTTTTCGTCGCCGAGCCACCCGTCGCCGTCCGTCGCCGCCGTTCGTCTCGGGACCAGGGGCGGGTATCGCCGTCCATTCCGCACGTCGCCGCCGTCGCCGCCGCCGTCGCCGCACCGTCGCCGCCGCCGTCGCCACCGTCGCCGCCGTCGCCGTCGCCGCTGCTCGGGGCGAGTGGCGTTTTTTTTGCGGGCGGTGTTGCCCGTCGCCGCCGTCGCCGTCGCCGTCGCCGTCGCAAACATTCGCGTGCTAAAAGAATCGGGAGACTCACTCCCCAAAAACTGATCGGCCACCCGTGGGGATGTGCAATTCAGAAACCATTTTGCCCCACCGTCCACCTCTAATATGAATTCGTTTCATCCCACTCCAACTGGTATCGGCCCCCCCCGCTATCCATTGCCAAAAAACTACTGGCGTGCACTCGTTTTCCTTTTTTTATGTAAAAAAACAATACAAAACCCAGAATGTTCAAAACCGCTTGCAACAAACAAAACAAAACGCCGTCGTGCGTTCATGCCGAAATCCTCCAAAAACCTTGGACGTCGCAGGGATGTTGAAATCGAGTGCCCACAAAAGCATATACATACACTTGGCTTCGCAACACGAATGTGCAAGAAAAGCGCGCGCGCAAATGTTAATTCTTAAAATCAGCATCAGTTTTCCAATATGTTTATCATATGCTACCAAGCGGGCTTCGCGCGCGCATGCCAAAATGGTTCGAAGGCCCTTGCGCGCATGCTGTCGCGAGACTCTTGTTGACAAAACACAAGACGAAGTGCACGCGCGCGCGTCGTCGCGCGCGCATGCCAAAATCCTTCAAGAACCTCAGGTTCCACAGAGATGTCAAACCGATTGTCCCGCAACCAAATTTTTTTTTGTAAAACAAAAAAAAAAAATGTGATTTCGCAACATCAGTTTTCAAAGCGCTTGCGCCCACGCGTTGGCAAATCCTTAGGACAACGATTGTTTTTCAACATGTTCATATAATCCTTCGAACGCCCTTGCGCGCGTGCTGGGGGAGGCACGACGCCCAAGTCGCCGATTCACACTGCAGTGTCCGCTGGAACGCGCCCAGCGGTCAGTGCCACCGCGGCCGCGTCGGTCGCGCCCCCCTTCGCTGGCCGCACCCCCCCCCCTCCCCTCCCCCCCCCCCCCCCCCCCCCCCCCTCCCCCCCCCCCCCCCCCCCCCCCCTCCCCCCCCCCCCCCCCCCCCCCCCCCCCCCCCCCCCCCCCCCCCCGCCCCCCCCCCCCCCCCCCACCCCCCCCCCCCCCCCTTCTTCCCTCTCTCCTCTCCCCCCCCCCCCCCCTCCCTCCCCCCTCCCCCCCTCCCCCTCCTCCCCCCACACCCCCCCCAACCCTTTCTCCCCCCCCCCCCCCCCCCCCCCCCCCCCCCCCCCCCCCCCCCCCCCCCCCCCCCCCCCCCCCCCCCCCCCCTCCCCCCCCCCCCCCCCCCCCCCCCCCCCCCCCCCCCCCCCCCCCCCTCCTTTCCCCCCCTCCCCCCTCTCCCCCCCCCCCCCCCCTGCGCGCGCGTGCCTGCGCGGGCTGGCGCGGCCGCACAGATGCACCAGCCGACGCCAAGCACTTATCGCAATCGCCGCCGCATGAATTTTGCAAACCAAGTTGCGCTCTGGTAGGTGGGATATTTGCGCGAGCAGTGGAGTGGGTGACTACCTGCGAATATGACGAAATTCTTCTTTCGAAGTGCAAGAAATTCGTTTCCACTCCTCCCCCCAGGAAAATGTACATATGATTCTGCCCCATCGTCTATCCTATTTTTGAACTCGTACCATCCCAACCCAACCGGCATCGACCTCCTCCGTCATCCTCTGCAACAAAACATTCCACGCGCCATGGGAATATGTATAACTTGCTCTTAGCCCTGTCCTCCTCGCCCTGGCGGGCGCCCTCCTCTCGCCCTCTGCCCTGCCCTCTCTTCCTCCTCCTTATATTTCTCCCCTCCTCCTCCTCGTCATCCTCCTCCTCCATCTCATTGTGTTCCTCCTGTTCCGCCGCCTCCTCCTCGTCGCCCTCCTCCCCCCTCCTCCTCCTCCTCCTCCTCCTCCTCCTGCCTCTTCTCCACGTGCACCTCCCCTTCCCCCTGGTCGGGGCAAGCAAATCGATTTTCCTCGGCGCCGTCGCCGCCTCGGCCAGCGCGCGCGCGCGTTCGCCGACGGCTGGGCCACGACGCCTTCGGGGCAACCCCGCGGGCCGCCGGGGCGCGCGGGAAGGCCGCCGGGACAGCTCCGCAGGCCTCGAGGCGGCGCGGCCGCGGTCAGGCGGGGGCCAGCGCGAAGCCCAGCCGAGCTGCGAGCTGCTCCGCCTCACCCCTGGAGGTCTTCGCTTTCTCATTGAACTTCTCGAGCGCATTCCGC